ACAATACTTGATTTGTTTCATAAAGAATTTAAAACATATAGCCTCATTTTGTCCCCATGAATTCTGTGAAAAAACAACTTGCGTCATGTATCTATTTACTTGACAGGAAGAATCAGAATAAAGGAAAAGAAAAGATGTTCTGGCCAGGCATGGTGGCTCATGCCTGTAATCCCAGCAACTTGGGAGGCCGAGGCGGGTGGATCACTTGAGGTCAGGAGTTTGAGACCAACCTGGCCAACATTTTGAAACCCCGTCTCCACTAAAAATACAAAATCATCCAGGCATGGTGGCACACAACCTGTAATTTCAGCTACTCTGGAGGCTGAGGCATGAGAATCATTTGAACCCGGAAGGTGGAGGTTGCAGTGAGTAGAGATCAGGCCACCGCACTCCAACCTAGGGGACAGAGTGAGACTGCCTCAAAAGAAAAAAAAAAAAGTTCTGTCATTAATTGACTTCATGAACTGGAACACACCCCAGAGCCCCTGTTTCCTCATTTGCAAAAGGGATAATAAGAACAGCTCTGCCCCCAACTCACTTGTTCAACTTGGGATAAATCCTGCCCTGCCTTCCTCACAGGCACCTCGACATGAAGTTGTAATTTTGAAATGATTTTGTAAACAGCAAAACTTGTGCAAATGTGAGTTAAACTCACCAAACATCTCCCTTCACTGAACAGCATCAATGGTTTTATAGGCATCACTTGCCTGCATCTTAGAAATTCAGTATTCTTGCATTACATTCCCCTTACCTGCTTTTTTCTCTTTATCCTCTGGCCAATTCTGCCATTAATATGTGTGTGTGTGTGTATGTGTGTGTGTGTGTGTGTGTGGTGTGTGTGTATATGTATCTTGGAGATAGTGGGATGATTATATATATATTATGCGTGTGTGTGTACATATATGTGTGTATACACACATGATTATATATAATATTGTATACACACACACATAATTAAATATATATATAATCCTGCTATCTCTAAGAGTTTCTATCCCAAAGATTATGGTTTTTGTTTTTTTAACCATTTACCCCCTTTTACTTAGACTCTGTTGCTTCAACTTCAAATTGCCCACTCTTCTCTTCCCATAATCTCAGTGACCTGGTTCCAAAGGTTTTACTTTGACTCATTTGAAGACTAAATGTATCTATGTGTCCTCCCCACATCCTTTTCCGGGGAAGGAGCTAACTCACCCTCAAATGTATATTGACTTTTTAAAAAATTATTATTATTATTATTATTATTAAATTAAGAGACAGGGTCTTGCCGTGTCACCTAGGCTGAAGAGCAGTGGTATGATCATGGCTCACTGCAGCCTCAAACTCCTGGGCTCAAGCAGTCCTCCTGCCCCAGCCTCCCAAATAGCTGGGACTACAGGTATGTGCCACCATGCCCAGACACTTTTAAAATTTATTTTTGGTACAGACAGAGTCTCACTTTGTTGCCCAGGTTCATCTGAAATTCCTGGCCTCAAGTGATCCTCCTGCCTCAGCCCCCGAAGCATTGGGATTACAGGTGTGAGCCACCATCCCTGGCTATGACATATGAAAATTTATTTATTTATTATCGATTGATTGAGACAAGGTCTCATTCTCTTGCCCAGGCTGGAGTGCAGTGGGACAATCATGGCTCATTGCAGCCTTGACCTCCTGGGTTCAAGTGTTCTTCCTGCCTCAGCCTCCCAAGTAGCCTCCCATGACTACAGGCACATGTCACCACACTCGGCTAATTATTTTATTTTTTTGTAGAGATGGCATGTCACTATGTTGCCCAGGCTTGTCTCAAACTCCTGGCCTCAAACGACCCTCCTGTTTCAGCTTCCCTAAGTGCTGGGATTACAGGTGTGAGCCACTGTGCCTAGCCTGTATATTGGCTTTAAACAGCAATTTAAAATGTGAGTCATTTCACATATCTGTTTGATTATTTCTTTTATTTCCTAGCACCATAAAGGTGTTTTTATTGACAAGATAATCTTCTCCATGCCAGTCTGTTTGCGTACTGCCAATTTTCTGTCTGGTTAGTTGGATTTCTTAGGTCCTGCTACTATTGCAAGTGTGGACTGCAGACCCACAGCATCAGCTCACCTGGGAGCTTGTGAGATGCTGAAGCTCAGGCCCACCACAGACCTACTGAATGGGAATTTGCATTTTCATGAGCTCCCGGGTGATCTGTACGTACATGAAAGCTGGAGGATCACTCTCTTAGATTGTAAGCACAGGCTCCAGGTGACCTTAAATGGGGCCACTTCTGAAGCAGGCATGGGAGAGAAGGAAGGCAAAAATCTCAACTGCCAGGACCCTGCTTCCTAGAGATTAAAATGTGGTTCAGAACTCAGGTTGGGATCAAATGCAGTTTAATTGACATGGTTATCTTTTTATTCCTTATTGTAGTGCTTTTAACTACTGCATTAGTTCATGTTCACATTACTGATAAAGACATACCTGAGACTGGGTAAATTGCAAAGAAAAAGAGGTTTAATGGACTCACAGTTCCATGTGGCTGGGGAGGCCTCACAATCATGGTGGAAGGCGAAAGGCATGTCTTACATGGTGGCAGGCAAGAGAGAGAATGAGAACCAAGTGAAAGGGGCTTCCCCTTAAAAAACCATCAGATCTCATGAGACTTATTCACTACCACGAGAACAGTGTGGGGAAACCACCCCCATGATTCAATTACCTCTTACCAGGTCCCTCCCACATATGTAGCATTATGCAAGCTACAATTCAAGATGAGATTTGGGTGGGGACACAGCCAAACCATATCAACTACTGATGTTACTTTCCTTTGCTTCCTTTCTTTCTGCTGCTTCTCCACCTCACAGCTTCTGCTTCCTCAGAGCCCTTCCTGCTTCGCAGCTTCCCTGTCCTGCCTTCTCTCTGAGTGCACTGTGGCTGCCATGCACAGGGCAGGACCCAGAGCAATCTGCTATTTTGGCTTCCCTTTCAATTTAAATTCAATTTCAATATTCTTTAAATATTTGTTGACATTTATTTGGTGATGTTCTTTTTTTAATTTGTGGTAAAATATACAGAAGGAGCAGGATTGAAAAATTAATTAATTAATTCTGGTAAAATTCATATAACAAACTTTACCATCTTAAGCATTTCTAAGTGTGTAGCTCAATAATGTTAAGTATATTTTCATTGTTGTGCAGCCAGTCTCCAGAGGTTTTTCATCTTTTAAAATGGAAACTCTACTCATTAAACAACTCCCATTCCCCTTGCCCCACAGACCCTGGCAACCACCATTCTACTTTCTGCTTCCATGAGTTTGACTACTATACCTTGTATTTGTCTTTCTGTGACTGGCTTATTTCAATTAGCATAATGTCCTCAAGGTTCATCCGTATTGTAGCATGTGTTAGAATTTTCTTTTTTTTTCAAGGCTGACTGTATTCCATTGTAGTATGTCCCATGTTTTGTTTATCCATTCATCAGTTGATGAAATTTGGGTTGCTTCTACGTTTTGTCTATTGTGAATAGTGCTGCTGTGAACATCAGTGTACAAATAACTCTTCAGGACCCCGATTTTAGTTCTTTTTGGATATACACCCAGAAATGGTTGCTGAATTATATGATAATTCTATTTCAGTTTTCTGAGAAATTGCCATATTGTTATCTATAATGGCTACACCATTTTTACATTCCTACCACCTGAGTCCAGGGTTCCAATTTGTCTACAGCCTTGTCAACACTTGTTATTTTCTGTTTATGTGATAGCAGCCATCCTAAGGAGTATAAAGTGATGTTTCATTATGGTTTCCATTTGCATTTGCCTTATGATTAGTGATGTTATTTTTTCATGTGCTTGTTGGCAAGTGATGTTCTTTTAAATATGTACTATGTTCTTTATGGTCAAAATCAGTTATTTATTCTGTGTAATTTTCCAAACCACACAACTTCTTGGAAGGCATGTTTAAGTGTTTACATAATAAAACAGTACATTTCTTTCTTGCAAGCAGCCCTACACCACATATTATTCCATTTCTGGCTTTGTCTGCCAACTTCAATGTGCTGTCCTCAGGGTTGGGTTGGCTGGAGTGGCCCTGTGTGACAGGCATGTGAATGTCCCTGAGCACCGTGCAGATACTAGTCTGTATTGTCAAGGAGTGTTTTAAGTCTCCACCTCAGGGTGATGACTGCTTTGGTAGGAAAAGAGGCAATTTAAAATTCACCTGATTTCTGATTCGTTCCAATAATGTTTTGGTGCCTTTGAATATGGCAGCCCCCTAGACAGCAGTCCAGCCAGCAGACCTTACAACTTAGCTCCGTCTGTATGTCTGACATCTAGACTCACGAGAAGAGGATCTAAATGGGTCAGGGAATTACTTGTCCCTGGGACAGAGCAATTACACCATTCTTCACAGGCCCCAGAAGGTCTATGGACCCTTTGTTTGGGCACCAGGAGCTCCTCTAAGAACAGGTTTGGGGTGGGCGTGGCCTCCTCCTGCAAGGTCAGGCTGGATGAACATCTGTGAGAGTCTCCTGCACAAGGAGAGGTGGGAGGCTGTGAACACTTGTATGTAACACCATTTGTGCCCTTGTGTAATTGCTTCACCAATGTTGACAGCTCATGTGACACACCTTTCTTCTTCCGATGGAGGAAGGAAGTAATACCATTTTCTATCAAAAGCATTCCTTGATCATCGCTGGCCTAAAAAACAGTTGTTTGATGGGTCTCTTGTCAAAGTCAGTGATATGGTTTGGATGGTTTGTCCCTTCCAAATCTCATGTTGAACTATGACCTCCAGGCCGGGCGCAGTGGCTCACAACTGCAATCTCAGCACTTTGGGAGGCCAAGGCGGGCAGATCACCTGAGGTCAGGAGTTTGAGACCAGCCTGGCCAACATGATGAAACCCCGTCTCTACTAAAAATACAAAAATTAGATGTGGAGGTCAGAGTGGAAGCCAGTGTGAGACGGTTCAGCAGAAGAAAACATAGCTGCCAAGTGTTTGAGTCCATCAGCAAGTTTGGGCTGGCCTTAGCTGTTGCAGGAGGCATGGTGAACTCTGCCTTATATAACATGGATGCTGGGCACAGAGCTGTCATCTTTGACCAGTTCTGTGGAGTACAGGACATTGTGGTAGGGGAAAGAACTCACTTTATCATACCATGGGTACAGAAACCGATTATCTTTGACCACCATTCTCAACCACGTAATGTGCCAGTCATCACTGGTAGCAAGGATTTACAGAACGTCAACATCACACTCTGTGTCCTCTTTGGGCCTGTCACTAGCCAGCTTCCTCACATCTTCACCAGCATCGGAGAAGACTGTGATGAGCGTGTGCTGCCATCCATCACGGCCGAGAGCCTCAAGTCAGTGGTGGCTCGCTTTGATGCTGGAGAACTAATCACCCGGAGAGAGCTGGTCTCCAGGCAGGTGAGCGACAACCTTACAGAGCAAGCAGCCACCTTTGGGCTCATCCTGGACGATGTGTCCTTGACAATCTGACCTTCAGGAAAGAGTTCACAGAAGCAGTGGAAGCCAAACAGGTGGCTCAGCAGGAAGCAGAGAGGGCCAGCACTCACTGGCCACTGCAGGGGACAGCCTGATGGAGCTGTGCGAGCTGGAAGCTGCGGAGGACATCACGTACCAGCTCGCTCGCTCTTGGAACATCACCAGTCTGCCGGTGGGGCAGTCCGTGCCCCTCCAGCTGCCCCAGTGAGGGCCCACCCTGCCTGCACCTCCGCGGGCCAACTGGGCCACAGGCCCGATGATTCTTAACACTGCCTTCCTTCTGCCCCCACCCCAGAAATCACTGTGAAATTTCATGATTGGCTTAAAGTGAAGGAAATAAAGATAAAATCACTTCAAATCTCTAAAAAAAAAAAAAAAAAAAAAAAAAACAAAATTTAGCCGGACGTGGTGGCGTATGCCTGTAATCCTGTAATCCCAGCTACTCGGGAAACTGAGGCAGGAGAATCGCTTGAACCCAGGAGGAAGTGGATATAGTGAGCCAAGATCATGCCACTGCACTCCAGAGTGGGTTGACAGAGCAAGACTACGTCTCAAAAACAAAAAACAAACAAAAAGAAATGTGACCTCCAGTGTTGGAGGTAGGCCTAGTGGGAGGTGTTTGGTCATGGGGGTGATCCCTCATGACTGGTTTGGTACCCTCGGTAATGAGTGATTCTCACGCTTAGTTCATACAAAAGCTGGTTGTTTAAAGAGCCCGGTATCTCCTCCTCTCTCTCTTGCTCCCTCTTGCCATGTGACGTGCTGGCTCCCGCTTCACCTTCCACCATGCTTGGAAGCTTCCTGAGACCTCACCAGAAGCAGACGCTGGTGCCGTGCTTGTACAGCCTTCAGAAGCATGAGCCAAACAAACCTCTTTTCTTCATAAATTACCCAGCCTCCGATTCCTTTGTGGCAATACAAAATGGACTAACACAATCAGATCTCACTGTAACTCCAGAACCTTGCTGCCCACCGTTCTGTCCTAGCCAAAGTCCAGTTTTTCCCCTCCAGAGTTACCACAAGGAAAATGAACAGCCTCAATCCTTGCCACTCAGGTGTCCGTGTAGAGAGTCCACCAACAGGCTTTGTATCAGCAACAAGGCTGTTTATTTCACCTGGGTTCAGGCCGGCTGAGTCCGAAAAGAGAGTCAGCAAAGGGTGGTGGGATTGTCATTAGTTCTTACAGGTTTTGGGAAAGGCCGTGGAGTTAGGAGAAATGTTTTACGGGCAGGGGGTGGATCTCACAAAGTACATTCTCCAGGGTGGGGAGAGTTACAAAGAACCTTCTTAAGGGTGGGGGAGATGACAAAGTACATTGATCAGTTAGGGTGGGGCAGAAACAAATCACAATGGTGGAATGTCATCAGTTAAGGCTCTTTTCACCTCTTTTGTGGATCTTTAGTTGCTTCAGGCCACCTGGATGTAAACAGGGGATATGATGGCTTAGCTTGGCCTCAGAGGCCTGACATAGATGAAATTTCTCTTCCAAACACCACTAGCTGGGGAGTTGGCTCTTGGCTGGGGCTGGTCCGTGCACAGGCCAATAAGGGAGCTGGGCAAGTGCGGAAGTGGAGACTAGCTGTGTCCCAGACAGCGACTCTCCCCGGCCTGTGACCCTGGAGAGTCCTTTAGCAGGGCAAAGTGCAACGTAGGCAGACCATAAGGGATGCCTCGGTAACAGACAAGCTTTGTGTGCCTGCAGGGGGACAGGAAGAGGGTGGGGCAGGAGAGGGAGATAAAAGGGCTCTGAGGCAGTGTACTCTGAGCTCCTTCAGTCTCCTGCTCTGCTCAGCCAGTCAGCCCCGCCTCCCTTGTTTACGACCACACAGCACTGCTGTGTGTCTGCCCTTACCTGTGACTCTTCCCTAGCTGCTGCATGGCTAGCAGCCCTCTTCTTTTCTCCTTCTCTCTTAAGAAACATGCCCATCACCTGCAGTTTCTCTGGGCTCCCCGTTAATCCTCCTTCCTCATCTCCTAATGCTGCCACCTCCCTGTGCCTGGAAATAGTCAAGGCCGGATTCTGTTCTTTTGCTTGAATTTCTTTCACTTTGCTTCTTAACTCTTTCTAAACTACAATTCCCCCATTCTCACTGCCTTAGTTTTCCCTCTCTCCGTGTTTATCAAACTATATCCCACCACGCCCTGACAAGGCTTCTCTCCCGTAGATCATCCCCTTTCTAGTATTTTGCTGGCAATATATAGTGGGGTTTTCTCCTTTGCCCTACGTTGTCACTAAACTTCCCAACCTAATAGGCAGTGTCTTGCACCTTCTACTGATCATTTCATTCTTTCTAGCACTAAAGATGACCACTTCCCATGTCTGTACCCAATTCCAATTCCTGGCCTGTTGGCCCAGATGTATCTGTAGCACTCACCCGTGTTCTCATGCCTAGTGTCTAAATATTTGACTCCAAAGGTCACTAGTGGATCACCTCCCTGCCTCTCACTTTCCCCCAAGGCACAAAGTCTCTTCCCAGCACCTCCCTTTAGTCCTTCCCTTCCTCGTGTCTCTTCTACAGGGAGAGGAACATGCTCAACTTTGTGATTTTTTTCTAGTTTGTAGTTGTGATCTACCCTGTACCACTGAATCATCTCACATGATTTAAACACTCACACCAAGTGTGCCACACTTCATGGCTTAATCCCCTGTTCATCAGAAAACCCCAGGTCCCTGGAACTGAAGCAGGGTCTCATTCAGCCTGACACAACCTGAAATTTCTCCCTGACTTCTTTCCCAGCCCCAAGACAGGGGACTTGCAAGAGTCCCTGTGTTGAGCCTCTTTGGAACTCACTGTCCTCCGTTGATCAAGGCCCACCCAGCAGGTTCTGTCTAGTTCTAATCCTCAAGGCTCCTTTGCATCCCTTCCTTGCTCCGTTGTCCAGCCCTGAGCTCTCTCAAGCCTTGTACTGCTCTCCCCTTTTCCCTTCCCTTCCAACTCTATTCCTCTCCTCTCTACATACTCCTGGGAGCCTTGCTCCTTCTGTAGCACAAACTTCACACTGATTTTATTTCAAATTCCCCTCCATCACTATCTCCAGTTGCACTGCTCTTCTTAGTTTCTTTCCCTCCACGTTCACACTTGTCTTCTCTGGAGGGCAGGCTCTCCTGGGGGCTTCCCCTGGGCCAGCCTCAGAGTGGCATCTGCTTTTCTGGTTCCTCCCCACCTCCTCTCCCCTCACTTCTTGCCCTGCCAGATCTGTCTATGGCAACAGCCCCTGCAGCAGTGTGCTCTCCTCTTCCTCTTCCTCTTCATGCCCAAGGCCATGTCAGCCTCTCTTAGCAGCTTCCATTTTATTGTAGGGGCACTAAGCATAAAGCAGTTAGTGAGTAAAGCGAGTTAGTTCAACATCAGTGGCAAGGGCTAGGACCTGGCCTCCTGACTATGACAACAAGACAATGCCCACTAGATCTCCCTGCCAGGAGCAAAAACCAAAGTCCTCTGACCTCCAGGAGGCTGCCGGCCAGCTGGGTCCTGTGTGGTCACAGTCAGTCATTCCTGTGTTTATGTGTGTGTGGTTCATGGAAGACCTCCCTTCTCCCTTGAATAGGGGATTTGGGGCCTCTTAGCAAATGAAGTAACGGCACAAAGACGTGTGTGTGTATGCATGTGTGTGTGTGTGTGTGTGTGTGTGTGTGTGTGTGTCCCCTTCTCATTCTTATTCTCCACTACCCCCAGACAAACACAGGGGATCTTATACAGAAAATCAGCATTTCGCAGAAAGGAAATGGCCTCGTGAGGAAGCAGCAGGAACAGCCTGTTTATAGGAGAGCTCAGTGGGCCAGGCAGGAGGTGCCCCGGCCCTTCCTCTGCGTCCACCATACTCCCTTCTTCAAGCTGTTGAAGTGGTGCTCCGGGATGTCAGCCTCCAGGCATTCAGCCATCAGACTCTTGCTCTAAAGAGGACAGGGAAAACTGAGGAAATACAGACAATTATAGAGGAGAAAATGAAAATAATTCCAACCCCAAATTCATCACTATTTCAATTCTCTATATATACATATCTACACACACAGATACATACATACATATCTCTAAAATATAGCATATACAGGACATTATTATTATTGTAGTTTTAAACCTTCAATATTGTTTTATATGCACCCATATATTTACCCTTTTTAGTTCTCCACATTCCCTCCTGAAGTTCCATGCTCCCCACTGGCTTTTGCCAGGATAACTTTCTTTGGTATTACTTGTAACGCAAGTATCTGCTGGCAAAAAAATTCTTCAGTCTTTGTCTGAAAATGTCTTTATTTGGCCTTCACAATGGAAGGATGATTAAACTGTTGGTCAAATTCTTGGACAGCAATAAAGATATCAACCCATTGTCTTTTCTGTGTTACAATTTCAACTGAAAAGTCAACCATTAATCTTATTTTTATTTCTTTGTGGTTAATTTTTTTTTTCTGGGTATTTGTAAGATTAGTTTTCTTGTCATCGATTTCCAGCAATTTTATGATGTGTGGGTAGGTGTGTGGGTAGGTATGTGTGTTTTTAATCCTCCTTTCATTACTTTCAAAAACTTCTTGGCAAATGTGTGTTCCCAGATTGCTTCTGTCCCAGTCTTGTGTCTGTAACATATGTTAGGCTATTTCACTGAGTTTCATGTGTCTCTTACACCCTGTTTTTTTCTTAATGCTCTTTATTTTGTTTGTTTCTGTGCTTCGGTTTATATATTTTCTGTTGACCTAATTTTGAATTCACTATCACTGTCTTTTGCTGATTCAATCTGTTGTAAAACATCCAATGAGTTGTCAATTTCAGATATCATACAGTTAATTTCTGGAATATGCAGAAATGTCCAGTTGATAATTTTTTAAAGTGGCATTATTGAGAGATAGCTTATGTATCATAAAGTCTAATCATTTAAGTGAACAATTGAATAACTTTTAGTATATTTACACTTGTGCAGCTATCATCAAAATCTAATTCCAGGACATTTCTATGCTCCAAAAAGAAACCTAATGTCCATTTGCAGCCACTCTCTATTCCACTGTCAGCCACAGGCAACCACAAATCTACTTTCTCTATGGATTTTCCTTTCCTGGACGTTTAATATAAGCGGAGCTATACAATATGTGGTCTTTGAGTATACTTCTTTCACTTAGAATAATGTTTTCAAGGTTCATCTGTGCTGTAGCGTGTATCCTTCATTCTTTTAAACTACTGAATAGAATTTCGTTGTATATTAGTATTCCAGGTGTAT